TGAAATTAGTTTTTTTAAAAAATATCTTCTTGAGTTAGTTTTGATAATTCATATCCACCCAGGAGTCTAACCATTTCTTCTGGATTTTCATATTCATTCAAGCTAAGGTTTTTAGTTAACAATCTGAATGTTGGCACTGAATGTTGTGGTTTTGTCTATTTTTAATTACACTTTTTTTGGTATGGTTGGCTAATAGTTGATCTATTATTCTGAATTGCTCTTTGATTGACTGTATTGTTTGGCCTCAATTTCATCTTTGCTCATTATATGTATTTTTTCCTTGTATGAGTGTTGGATTTGGTTTGTTCTTGTTTCTCTAGGACCCTTGAAAATGCAGGTTATTCATTTGGGCTGCCTCTGTTTTTCTAATGTGGACTTTCATGACTATAAACTTCCCTTGCAGGACTGCTTTCATTGTGCCCCATAGGGTTTGGTATGTTGCACTGATATTTAATTCTAGGAGCTATTTTCTTCCTTGATTTCTTCTGAGACTTATTGATTATTCAATCGTGCATTGTTTAATTTCTAGTTTGCAAAACTTATGTAGCAAACAAATTAATGGTTTATTTAGCCACTGGTTTGTAATTTCATTGCCCTATGATCTGATAATATGCATGGGATAATGTTTTCTTTTGTATTTATTTAAGCAGTCTTAGTGTGCTAATATATTATTTTGGAGAAAGTTCCATGTTTTGCCAAAAGAATATGGAATACTGTTGATATCTATGAAGTCCATTTGCTTATTTTGCCTAACATTTTTGTCTAATTGATGTTTGTGATTATGTGGTACTGAGATCCCACTATAATTTTGTCAGTTTATATGATTTTTTATGTCTACTAGTGTTGGTTATCAAATTGTTAAATATTTAGTGCATATATATTTGTAATTTTTATTTCATATTGAAATTTTTCTTTAACATGTCATAATAATCTTTGACTCTTATGCTCAGTTTTGACTTGAAGTCCATTTGGTCTGAAAATAAGGTATACCTGCTTGTTTATAAAGTTCCATTGCTTGAAATATTTTTTCCATCCTTTGATATTTTCTATGCACTTCTTTTTGTACTAAATATATCTTATATACTTAAAATATACAAATATATAGTATGGAGACCAATTAAATGTCCACTTCTCAGTGGTGTCCTCTGGGTATAATTAGTTGTCTTTGCTTCTGTCCCAGCATTTAACCACCTTTTTCTTTTCTTTTTTTGTCTTTTTTTTCATTTTTATCAGTACCAGGGATTGAACTCATGACTGCCTGCTTGCAAGGCAGGTGCTTATGTCGCTGAGCTGAATCCCCAGCCCCAACCACCTGTTTTCTTGAGATAGGTTTTTGTAGGATAGTTAGCCCAGTATACAGTTGTCTAGGAATGGACCACAGTACTGTTAATGACTGCAGAGTATTCCAGGTATCAGAAAACAAACAAAACAAATACTCATGTCACATTGGCTAGTGATAAAATCAACATCAATTATAGCATCAAATACAAACTGAATAATGACAAATCCTGTTAATATAGTACCATCCTTCTCCAAGAAATTTATAATCTTGAATACTAGGCCAAAAACTGACCTACTTCTAACAGCAGCACAGTATTCAACAACAAGTGTAAAGTTAGCTATCTAGAGTCATAGTTTAGTAGTTACATTAGGTGGAGGGGGTGCAGAACTGGAAAATGAAAAAGCAAACTTTGAAAAATTAATCAAGGGGATAAGAGATGTAAGAGAGGAAATTCAGAAAGGCAGTCTTATTGAGTAACAAATAAAAACTATGATAAAGGAACAGCCACTAGAAGGAATAAGAAAAAGAAAAAAGAAACATCAAGAACAGGAAATAAAGAAGAGAAAAAAGTTGGGGGAGAAAAGGAACAAAATTAAAAGCGGAGAAAAATAAAGGAGGAGGAAAGAAAACCCCAAATTCCCAGAAAATCTAATGAAGGAAAAATAAAGCACAAAGAAAAATCAACAGGAGATGGTCAAAGAAAAAGTTCCCGCGCTGCTGAAGAGTGTTTTCTTCCTAAGATCCGCAGTCTAGGGATCCAGCCAATCTCAATTTTCCACGGTTAGGTTTAGGGCCCATTAAGTTTGGAGGTGCTCTCCTTGCTCTGCAGGTCCGTTTATTACCCTCCACCCAGGCTAATGGTACTGTCCAAGCTAACGCATGTCCCCGCTCCTGTTGCTGGTTAGGATGTGATCAGCCCTCTAGTCTCTGGTAGATGTAGGTCCAGGCCGACGTTCAAGTGGACTGTTGGAGTTGGCGTCCTCAGTTGGGGGATCTGGTGTTCTCTTTTTTCCTTGGGTGTTGTGCTCTTCCAGGATCAGGCTGGATGCTTGTTCTTTGCCTTTGGGGCCCCACTGCAGAGCTCCCTTGGTGGAATGGCACTGCTCCTCTGGCATGGGTCTGCTTGTTCTCCAAGAACATACACTTTTGCATGGAACCTTCTTTTACTGATCAAGAGTAATGCTTTTGTCAGCTAAATGCCTATTAGCAGTAAGCAATGTAGTAATTTAGCAAAATGAGCATACTTCTCAGTCTATTAAGATCATGCCAGACTATTATACCAGGACAGTTGCATTTAAAAAAAAAAAACAAGGAATATCACATATAGTAGTTTATATAACCTCAGGAATGGGGATTTAGCTCAGCGGCACAAGCACCTGCTTGGCAAGTGTGAGGTAGTCAGTTCGATCCCGAGTACCAAAAAAAAGAAAAAAAAAAAAAAGTTTGAGGCGAAAACTTTAAAGATATGTAAGTAATTTAACTAGCTAAGAATTTTATAAGCCAATAAAACCTAACAAGACAGTAGAAAATATAAAATTAAAAGTGAGGCCTCTACTTTAGTTGTTATAATTTGTAATAAAAAGGCATCAATATCTTGTCTTATTGTTAAATGTAGATTCTGGGCCATGTTGGAATTTAGGACTCTGGGAAGCCAAGCCAGCACCTCCCCTCCCTGGTAAGTGGCAGTAGTGTGGCCCACTGCAGCCCTTCCAGGGGGAGAACCTGCAGTGTCTCCTGAGATCCACGCCATGTTGGAACTGAGGACGCTGTGAAAACAAATGACCATTCTGCCTCCCTGCTTAGCAATAGTGAACCTACTGCTACATGGCCTAGAGTCAAATATCCCACTTCCCCTATCCTCCTTCTCCTCCTCCTCCCCACCCATTAGCAAATGGGAACCAGAAATCTGAGCATCTCCTGGGAGGTTGACCATAGCAAATAAGGGGGACTTCCTTCTCCCATTTCTTTGAAGGCAAATATTTTTATTACTGTTTTGCTCTTTTCTGATTAATGGTACTGCTCTATTCAATATTGTTTTGATAAGTTCTACAGTGTTCTATATTTCATCTCATTTTGATATACAGGATTGAAAGAACAACTATTATGAAGATAACAAAATATACTGTGATACCTATTACTGTTATCCTGGTTACCTGCTGTGAAGTTCTGTACCAATTTCACTGTACGATCTTAGTTAGCTTTATTCTGACTTGTTCTGTTGTATACTTTCAAAATAAAAATTAGGGTTGGGGGTTTAGCTCAGCAGCATAAGCACCTGCCTTGAAAGCAGGCAATCATGAGTTCGATCCCCAGTACTGATAAAAAGGAAAAAGACAAAAAAAAAAAAAAAAAGTAGATTCTGATATTCCAGTGTCAATTTTGAACTCTTTAAAAAATATTTTTTTAGGATGAACTGCCTCTAATTAGAAATGCTTTATGCAAATATATACTATTATCAATTTACAAGAAAAAACATAACTTTTAGACAGTGATTTTAAAAAATCATGTTATCATTTATATTTGAATCCCAAACTGTGTCATATGTAGATGAAAGTACTGTGCATTTAGAAATGAACACATAAAGGGAAAACTCTGAAGCTTTGCTTTTGGACCTTGCAAGGGTTTTCTGCCAAAACAAAATGATTTTTTTAAAGATGTATTTTCAGTACTTAAATTAAGCAAAGAGTAGACAGTAGGGTTTTTAAAATTATTATTATAGAGGAGCAAAAAAGCCTTTTTAGCATCTCTTGAAAAGCATTAGGTCATATAAACACACTACTAGACCGGTAAAATAATTATCTTTACAGTAAAAAAGATTTTAAAAAACCCCAACTGTTAGTGAGTTGTTGTTATAAAACTTAACTTTAAAATGATGAATAAACACAATCTTTAATCACTTTGAGACTTATTATTTAAAGCCTTTTTTTTTTGGGTACTGGGGATCAAACTCATGACCTTGCACTTACCAGACAGGCACTTGAAACACTGAGCTAAATCCCCAGCCCTATCTAAAGCTTTTTAAAAACATGTTGACTTGTACTTTAACAGGAGTTTCTATTTTCAGATACTTATCTCTCTCAAATAGTTACTCTGAGACTCAGATATTCTTTGCTCTTATATTGAAGTGTTAGTGATATATTATGAGTAACATTTAATATACACACATATTTCATTATAAAAATTGTTTCATTTATGTTTATCTTTAAAAATCAAGATATTAGACCAACATAATCCACTTCTTAGCCAAAGGAAATGCTAAAGGTCACTTGAAATATAAGATGGAAATGAACACTGCATCTTAAGTTTAACAAAGATTAAAATATAAATTTGGTGAACAACCTAGGCAAAACATATTTTATTAGCTTTAAAGATACTTGTACCCTTATTTTACCAACTAATTTAAATTTCTGTATAGTGAAGCTATGAGAAACCAAGAGCATTTAACTAGTATCAGTGTCCATTTATCTACAAGCCAATTTAAATAGAGCTTTTATAGGATAACATTTATGTGAAAGAGAAAAACATACATATTAACCTAACATATATATAACCATGGAACTAAACTAAGATTTTTATTTACATATTTGATATAAGCCTTGAGCACACAGTTTTATAATCCTGAGTTTCATAACCCTTGCACATTTGCATAAACCATTTGCTTTATTAAAAGTCCTAACAGAGCTGAAAGTCTCTAAGAGTAAATAAACAAACAAATACATTGATAAGAACTCCAAATTTATTTTTATTGAAGCAACTGCAAGCTATTAAAAACATTAACAGGCAAATGGACAAACAAAATGTACACCATATATAAAACAATTACATTAAGTCAGAACATACTCTTAAGATACCTTGGCCAAGCTGAATTATAATAATCATTTTCTTATTTCTAGGTTTATAGCCATAAATAGATTAGTCAGAACTTTCCCTATGGATTATCAGCATTCCTTTTTGTTATGTGAGGCAAGAGTAGGTTGGTGCCTTGGTTCATGAAGTTAATTCTCTCCAGTCGCCTGCCACCTGACGTGGAGTTTGCAAATGGAAGTCAAATCTTGCCAAATGCTTCTGCATTTGTGAAATGAGGCATCACTGCATTTCCTTTAATACTTTAAGCTATTTTGTACTTTCTCCTGTTCGTTACCACTACAGACTTATAAACAGCAACAGTCATAAGGGGAAAAGAGGGATGGGCCATAGATTGCTAGATGGGATTTTGTTCATTTTCTCTCATTGTAAAATCAAATATAAGGTGTCGTCTCTTTAACTTACATTTAGAGGAACACACAGAAAAATCAACTTTCTATAATCTTTCACCTTATATTGGTCCCAAGTTCATAAAATATAAATTACAGATAAAGACACTGAGTTATCCATAATCATTTAAGATGTACTACATGCTTTTAAGATCTTTGTGTATTTTTGAAGAGACACAAAACAAAAAATAAAAAACAAAACCAGATCTCTGGGTTAATTTCTCAGATGGAAGCCTGCCCGGTTCCTCAAGGTCAGACCTGCCACTTGATGTACACAGTGTTGGTTTTCCAGACTGACAGCTTTTCAGCTTTCTCTTTTGAGTGTCACGGAAAATTTTATTTAGCATCAGGATGTGGCTGGAGAGTGTATTGGAATCAACTGTATTCAACCGAAGACTGAAGACACTGGAGTCGATCTGGAGCAAACGGAAAAGTAAGAAACACACAGCCATAACAGGATCAACATGCATTATGAGGTCAAGGTCAAAGTTAGCCCAAACCACAAAAATGTCTTCTAATCTGAGAGCAAACACAGGAAGCGATGATTTTATTGAGACCCATAGCTGTAGTAGTAAGGTTCATCAGGGCGGAATCCATAAGCTGTGGCAGGGCGTCCAAGAATACCGACTGGCTGGCCAAAGCCATCCATTCCCAGGCTGAAAGAGACAAAGCAATGAGCTGTGTTTTTAAATCACAAATCTATAATGCAGGGCAGGTAAGTGGCTCAAATTTTATACCTCCATAATTCTTTTTCTGGCACTGATAGTGATTTGTAGGAATATTAACCTTGTTTCTTCCTTAAGTTAATGTATTCATTAAAATGTGTATTAAGTTCTTACTTTTCACAAGATGTTAAAAATGTCAAAAACCTGTCATCAGGTTACTATTCAAAATGAAGTAAAATAATAAGATCAAAAAGATTTCATTTAATAAATGCTCTAATGACAATATGAAAAGACTTTGCATCTAAGCAATTATCAATATACTGCTTGAGAGTGATAAATTTCACAATGGGTTTGATCTACAAATCCTTCTTCTGATTTCTCAGTGCAAAAAACTGCCACATGGTATAAATTCTAGTTCAGCTTATTTTGTAGAAATAATGGAAACCCAAAAACCTTTAGAGTTGCAGAAACCTGTTTCCCAAAGTACTTTTTAAACATCAAAGAATTATCCCACACTGAGGAAAATGACAGTGTATTTACTTTAGTAGGCAAATATGACAGCTGTAACATGCCCATGCATAGCTCATGCAGTGAAACAATACTGAGCTTAATTTCAACCAGGAAGCCATCTACAATGTGCAAATATAAGCTTTGAAGAAAATAAATACACATAAATGATTTAAGATTTGAGACTCTACAGGATGGAGATTTTTCACCAGAAAAAATCTGTTTAAGAATATATTTGCATTGCCACTAACTTCCCCTCACACTCAAAGTGAAATTGAGTTCAAACTGCTAAATTTAAATTTTAAAACAATGTGCCTAGTTTATTAGGGTGCAGCTATATAAGATGTACTGGTTGTGTGAATCAACCTTGCAGGTAAATAGAAGTTTCGAACTATCAGTGTCAGGTTATTATTTTGTACTGAATGAACCTGGGGAGGGGCGGAAAGCAAGTTTTTAGGGCTGTTTATAAAAAAATATCTGCCCATAGTTCCTCAAGGTTAGCTAAAATGTTTCAAGTCTGTATTTTATCTTGAAATAGTAAGATACAGGCACCCTTTCCTACTTTGGTATCATGGGAAGACAGAGTAAATTTTGAAATGCTAAGAAATGTTATTCTAGAGGTAGCTTAAACATGTTTCTGAAAGTAGAGTAATGGAATGGTGAACTCTTGTGTACCGGTAAGACACACCATATCAATTTAAAATTTACAGGAAAAGTTGGCTGTAGAAAAAAAAAAAAAGTTTTTTTTGAACTGGGAATTGAACTCAGGACCTTGCACTTGCCAGGCAGGTGTCGTGCCTCTGAGCTATTATCCTGAGCCCGGCTGCAGCAATCTTTTAACACTAAGGCTAACAAAGTACTCATGTATCTAACTAAACAAACTCTCAAGTACAGAGCTTGATGATACAGCCTGCGGATTCCAACTCATTCCTTATTCAGCTTTCACCTGCTACCTGCCGTCAGTGCCCCTCTGAGGTTCAAAACACAACACTCAGAGGAACCTCATGTGCCCTCGTTTCTCAATATTCACTCGAGAGGCTGTGGTGGGATCTCTTTCAAGGATTTGGAACTAAGAGGCGCATACAGATCAGTGAAGACATCTTCAAAGGTAACTACAAAGCAGAACAACTTACGGAAGACTTCTTAGCCATCCTGTTGTATTAGGGCTAAAAAATGATCCTCAGAGGGGAGTGAGCCAGCCATGCTGGCATGGCCAAGGAGCTTCTCAGCCACAGTGCTGGTGGCAGCAAACTAAGCAGGTCCTTGGAACCTGGTGATCTATGACCTGACTTTTCTGGCAAGCGTGTTCGCAATAAGGAAGAGGACTTAACAGATCTCAGAGACGGAGGCCATTCTGCATTGGAATAACATTTGTAATTCTTTGTTTAGTATAACTAACTATAACTCTTTGTTTTAGTATAACTAAAAGGGAAACTGTCCTCCCACCCCCTTTTGGGACTGGGGGCCGAACCTAGGGCCTTCACGCTGAGCTACAGCCCAATCCCTTTTCCAGCGTTCAGTGCTGAGACAGGGACACACTAAGCTTCTAAAGTACTCAGGCGGGCTTGGACTTGCCATCCGCTTGCCTTCACCTCCCAGAGCACCGGGATTACAGGTGGGCGGCACACCTGATTGGGCGAACTGGTTATGTTTTACTGTTCACCAGCAGAGTAAATAATACATGATTCCTGATCTGCCAGCTGGCTATCTTTTCATTAGAAGCTGACACATGGTTTTTTGTTTGTTTTTAAGTATCAGTGACATTGTTGATAACAATGTTATGACTGAACCTTGAGCACTGCTGAGTTGGGAGTATCTGAACCTCCAAGTCTCAGGTCTTGAACATTATAATTTCAGGCTGCTGTGGTAGTTCCGTTATTGTAGTCAATAGATCACCCAGATTACAGTGACCAGGATATCATTTAACTTTTGAAACTGGGAAAAAATTTCAAGGGAGAAAATTTGAAACTGACTTTTCAAATAAGGATTTAAAAAAAAACTATCCATCATGAATCACTGACAAATTTGCTACATGAAGAATATTTAAGACACTGTCTAGTCTGGATGGTCAATAGACAGGAGTTAGGTCCTTTCATATTATGGAAGATCCATCATATGAATAAATTAACAGATTTTAATTCCACTCTGAAACAACAGTTCTCTTTAATCTTATTTGGGTCTTTTAAATGTATTAGGAAACAGTATTCCAGGGTGCTAAGACATGAAGATGGTTATTCTCTTGGAACACGTGGAGACTTATCCTACGCCTCCCTTGGGATAAGGGTGCAGCCTTGCTGATAAAGAATCTGGTTCAAAACCAAGAAATCTTTAAATAGGAGACAGATTCTTTATGTAAATTCTTTTGGAAGGAACAGAAACCATGAATTAAAAAGGCAGAGTCATGTGGGCATGGTGGTGCACAGCTCTAATACCAGCACTGTGGGAGGCTGAGACAGGAGGATTGCAAGTTTGAGCTCAGTCTGAGCAACTGAGCCAGATTGTCTGTCTGTCTGTCTATAAATTTTTAAATGGATTGAGGAAGCATTAAAGCTCTGCATTCAATCTCTAGTGTGAGAAAAAAACAAAAAGGCAGTGTTACTGCAAAAACTTTCTTTTCCTAATCCAAAAAGACTTGGCATAGTTTAAGGGATCCTAAGAACCAAAGGAATTAAATCTGTGATACAACTTTGCCCTGTGTGACGTTTTGCTGAAGATAATCGGAGTGTGTGTATTTGGCTATTTATATTGGGGCTGAATCCCGCTCTGCACTGTGTGTGTTTCTGGTTATACACATTCTCTTCTTGCCACTCTTAACACACATAAGAAGTTGTATATCTTATATTAGCATATGCTGCTCTAAGAAAGCAGGACTAGTTATAGCATTTTTATCCTTAATGTTCACATAACTTATTTTAGATCTTTCAATTTCCCAGACGTAGTACATTTTCTAGTCCAAAGAAAACACTGTTTGTTGTGAAAAGATAACTAGGAATGGTTAGGTCAACAAATCAATCTGCTATTAAATTTTATGTCCTAAGAACAATGATTTTTGGTACCTAGACCTAGTAAGGAAAATAAAAAATTAGGTAAAGTGAAAAATTAGTTTTAAGATCCAACAATATAAAACCACATTTAAAAAAAATCTACAAATGTAACTGACACACAGCACACAGAAAATCAAATTTTCTCTAATATTTTCAAGACTTTAACCAAATCCTTAACAGCATTCATGAGATGATTCAGAGTGCGGCAAAAGAGATCTGGCGATGACAAGTGACACTTCACATGCAGGCATTACAGGGAGATAGCCGCCAGCGGGGCGCCCCAAACACTCCCAGACACTTGCTACACTGCTTTGCTGGAGCTGCCATTCCTGTAGGAGGGAAGGAACTTACCTACCTCTGGCTGCTTGTGAGGCTTACTTAGTGCATATTTGTAAAGCACTTTGAAATCCTTGGATGGAAAGTGCTGCATGAGTGAAAAGTATCATACTGTATTAAAATTAGACAAAACAACAGATCTTTTTGTTCTTTTAAGTTTCTAAGCCAGCAATGTAAGTACACAGAAGGTAATAAATTTGTGTATACTACAAGAATAAAAGAGAATAAATCCAAGCCACGTTCCTCTTTCATAGGCCTGCAGGACTTTCGGGAACGGTGTTAGAAATGATCTGGTCTTGGCTGCTGTTTACAGAGTCCACCTAGCTCTTACCTGAACACCTCCAGGAATGCGGCCCTCACTAGTTGGTCCAGGCACTTCATTCCATTTATGGGGAGGTCAAATTGTTCAGGGAGCTTTTAATTCATCAGAAATTCATTTACTTAATCCTCAGGAGACAGCTTTGAATCTTTATTATGGCTTTTGTGCTCAATAATCACTTTGATCTGAAAGAGTTTAGCTCAAAGGGAAGCTGAAATTAACATTATACTTGTGATATTCTGAAACTAGTATGACATAGGAGATCCTCTCTCTAGCCCTAGAAGTCACTATCAGAAAGTTAGGTAAGATTGAGTGTGTATGTACATATATACACATATATGGTTATGTACATACACAGAACATGGTAAAATTTCACTTATAACCACTAAGCAGAATTTCATCTTTTTAGTTCGGGTCTGTGTTTAGGGATTTCATTTTCTGAGGTAAAATCCTATACCACAGTATATTTATGAATAGGAAATAATAATTAATAATCTAGTCTTTTGAATTGTAAAGAAATATTAATGGCTGGAATTGTTTTTATTTTTTTTTGGTATTGGGAGATGAACTCAGGACCTTGTGCTTGCCAGGTAGGCGCATGAACTACATTGTGCTTGCCAGGTAGGCCACTGAACTATATTCCCAGCTGGAACTGTTTAGACAACAGAAAATACTTAACAAGACCTACCTCTCATGGGTGAGACTGTTCCTGGATTTTATAGAATAGTGTGAAATGATCTGTTAATAATAGGGAACATTTCATTCTTTCTTATCAATTAATATAC